GGGGCTGCCCTGCGGAGCCATCTGTATTCCCAGGCTTAGCGGTGTCCCTCAGGCAGCTGGGGGAAACGTGCCTCGGTCCCTGAACTGGAGGAATGGATTACGACTGCCCGAAAACGTTTTTCCCCTCTTTCTGTGGTGCGGCAGCTGCTGGGCGATAACGATAGCTGCGTTCAGCAGCACCTATATCGGAGAGGAAACAGGCAAACAAGGTCTCCGCGGAGCTCCCTCTCGCTGCTCTCAAAAATACCGAGGACTTAGCAAGCAAGTCCTTGCTGCTTCTCGGTCAGTTAAGGGCATCTCTATTCATTCGCTAGACTATTAGGCTCATAAACCGGACACTAAAGGTCATAGTGGCCCGCAGTTTGGGTAAAACTGATGAAGCTTAGCCCCGCCTTCATTTAATAGTTCATATTTTATTAAAACATAGTACAACTCAAACATACCATTCTAAGTGCGAGCTGTGTTGTGAAATTAAACAGGCCCGTCTCTATCGCTGCCTTCCCCACACACACGTTCCTGGAGCTGAGCCCTCCGTAAGTATACGGAGGGGTCACACAGTACGCTCCACGAGTGTACTGACTCCTAGCAAAGTCTGCTGTTGTATTTAACTTAATGGGTATGAAGCCAAGGCTTGATAAGGTTTCTTAGGAGCAAAGCTTACTTGAATGGCTAGTTTCGCTTAATCTTACTGTACCTCTGTCATTTCAAGCGCTGCACGAAAGACAAGCCTGGTCCTTTTAAATGTATCTTGTGCTGCAGCAATGTCATGGGCATCCCTGGAAGCACCACCTGCGACTGCAGTGCAGTTACTCTTGAGTTTGATTTGCCCCAGTGAAGGGGGGGGAAACTGATCTCAGTTTTAGGACTAGGGCTTTTTACAGAAATATTGTTCACTTCAGCAAAGAGCAAAATGTTCAAGTAACATGCACGGAACAGAATTTATGAAGATCAGTGGTAAAGTGAAAGTTATGTTATCTAAAGGACCAACCCTTTTATGAGACCTTTTAATTGACATTGTTGCTGGTTTCTTTAAGGATTTGGATAAGAGGTTTGTGATCAAGCTTAAAAGATTTCATCAGATAATAGATATTTTTGTATTAAGCAGAAGAGGAGACATTTACAGTTAGGGTTTTTTGGTTTCTTGTGTGTGTGTTTTTTTTAATACAAAATATAGTGAGTTAGGTAAGAGTCATTTCCTTGGTAAGATGAAATATGCTGTGGATTTTAGAACTTGGACCTTTTTGATCCTCTTGTTTACTCTTCTGTAACGATCTGAAAATTGCTTCCTGGTGTGGAAACTTCTGATGCTCACACTCAGCCTGGATACGTATTTGAGGATTTAAAAAGAAAGCATGAAACATAAATCAGAATTTTTGTTTCACTTTCATTTCACACTAGAGTTTTTTATTTTTAGCTAGTAAATTAGAAGTCAAAAAGCCAAACTTGCTGCAGTTATCCTTTTCTTTCTTTTTAGAAAAGTAAATTGGCATTCCAGTTTTTTTTTTTTTTTTAGACAGTTTCTTGATAACTAAAGTATGTTATACTTTTTCTTTAGGCTTGCTGTGCATATTTTTTTAATCTCCTTATAATAATGATAATTCAGAGGTAAATTCCCTAAATTTTTTAGACTTAAACGTAAGTGGAAATCCGTGGTCCAAAACAGCGTATGAAGCATGCACTTTAAATCCT